CATTTTCCAAACCTGTCAAAGCACTCTCTGCCACCATTACTGCACCCCCATGCATCTTGCACCTTCCATTCTGCCAGCCCTTGCTTGTTGATGTTGGCTTCAGTGGATGAAGAACCAGTTTTAATCATCCTTTCTAAATACTTATGTTTTGAAGAAGTTTCTCCTACAATGCTGCATCCATGGGAGTAATGTTACAAAGAAAAGAGGGAGAAACATGTTCTAGGTCATAAGAAGTTGAGAGAAGGCAAAGAGATGGAAATAGGATTCAAGTAGGCTTGAGAAGATTACAGGGGGCTGGCATCATGGCAGAGCAGATTAAATCTGCTACCTGCAACACTGGCATGCCATAGGGGTATCAGTTTGAGTATTGTCTGCCCCAATTCCTATCCAGCTCTCTGTTAAAGGTCAGGCAAAAGCAGCAGAAGATTGTCCAACTGCTTGGGCCCCTCTTCCCACATGGGAGATCTCACATGGAACTCCTGGATCTTGGCCATCCAGGGAATGAACAAACACATGGATGGTCTCTCTGTGTCTCCCTATCTCTCTGTAACTGACTTGCAAATAAATAACTAAACTTCTAAAAGAAGAAAAGAACATTACAGGAAGGCCCCTGCTTGGGGTGGTGGTGGTGGTGCTTTTTATAAATCACAAACTGCCTTTGTGATTTATTCTGCTATCACTCATCCCTTCACTTCCTCAATTCCAGCAGTGAAAATAAAACATTCGCTCACTCCCAAATGGCTCATAAGAGGGTGTCACTGCTTTTTAAAGAACATGGAGTTTATTTTCCTGTAGGGATGTATCAGTAGGAGCTGGAATATAGAGCCCATGGTTTTCCCTAAATGTGTCAGGGCTGGCAGTGGAGCCCAATGCAGCCCACCCTCAGGGCCAGCGGTGGAGCCCAACACAGCCCACCCTCAGGGCTGGCAGTGGAGCCCAATGCAGCCCACCCTCAGGGCCGGCGGTGGAGCCCAACACAGCCCACCCTTGCCTCAGGAGCTGATGCTGTGAGGCTTACATTAAAGAAATAATGCAAACTGCAGCTATAAGTAAAGAGGGAGATATCAAACACTAGCTTCTTAGATGTGACTCACCTTTAGAGAGTGTATTGGGTCCATATCTGTCCTAAAAGACAAACATGGTCAAAGTGATTAAAGGCCAACAAGTCTTGGTGATCGTGGTCCCAACCATGATGAGGCCCTGCTCTCCTTCAGTGAATAACTGAAAATGCAGGTGATAGATAGTGTGACAAAGAGATGGGTATAGAGCTGCAATAAACACCTATTAATTATTACAATGCACCAAAGACGGAGGTAGGGCTATACAGAATACAGATAGGTAAAGGACAAAGGAGTGCATAAAACATTTATCATGTAACTAGAGTCAAACATATCTAAATTACTTAGTATAGTTTACCTGATACTAGCAATAAATATGTGAGGTAGGTATTATTTAGAGGAATGCTAAGACACAGAGATGCTAATAGTCTGGCCAAAATCATAATGAGACCTGGGAGAAGAGGTAGGTCAGATATTTAACTGTTTCCCAGAAGATTTCTGTTTGTTTGCTTTTTATCTTATCTTTGTCTATTGTTGTTCATACTATCGCTTATTTTTTCAAAAATTAAAAAAATTTAATTTATTTAACTTGAAAAAGCCAAAGAAAGAGAGAGGGAAATATAGAGATCCTTTATCTACTGGTTCATGTCCCACATGGCCATAACAGCCAGAGCTGAGCAAATCCAAAGATGGAAGCCAAAAGCTTCCTCCAGGTTTGCCACAGGGTTGCAGGGGGCCTAAGACTCTAGAACATCCTCTACTACTTTCCCAGCCATAAGCAGGGAGCTGGACCAGAAGTGAAGAAGTTGGGACACGAACTGGCACCCGTATGAAATGCTGTCAGGTGGAAGATCAGTCCTCTACACCATTGTGTGGTCCCATGCCATTATTTATTGAGCCCTTACTGTATATCAGGAAACACATTAGATGGTAACATGAGTCGTTTCAGTTAAGTCCACAGATACTCTATTGTAGAGGTTCTTGGTTTTGGTTTTGTTTGTGTTTTTGTCTTGCTAATCTGGTACACAATGAAACTGAGGTCAAAGAAGTCAGCTATTTGTTGGAAGTTACACAGTAATCCTGTGTTGGATCCAGGACTTGAAGCTTGATCACAGGGCTTGGTCTCTCTGCATTGTTGGGGAAAACATAAGACACTGAGCCCATACTTGACATCGGTGTTTGTTTGCTTGTTTTTACAAAGATTTACATAGTATTTGAAAGGCAGATTTACAGGGAGAGGGAGAAGATGCCTACATTCAGGGGCAGAGGGAGGAAGGGAGAAAGGGGAGGAGAGAGTAGGATGTTCTATTGCTGTTTCACTCCCCAAATGGCCACAATGGCTGGAGCTGAGTTGATCCAAAGCCAAGAACCAGGAGCTACACTGGGTGTCCTAAATGGGTGCAGGGACCCTGGGACTTGAGCCATTCTCTGCTCCCTTCCCAAATCATAAGTAGGAAATTGATTTGGAAGGAGAGCAGCTGGGACTCAAACTGGTGTCCCATATGTAATACTGATGCTCCAGGAGGAGAATTAACCTGCTATGTTAGTGCACTGGCCCTTTTTGTTTGTTTGTTTGTTATTGTTAAGATGCATTTATTTGAAAATCAGAATTAGGGAAAGAGAGAGGAAGAGACACAGGCAGAAGTAGAAAGAGATTTTCCTTCCATTGGGTCACTCTCAGATGGCCCCAACATCCAAACCAAAATCATGAATGTCAGCTGGCTCTCTTGCATAAGTCTAATGGCCCAAGCACTTGGGTTACCTGCTGCTTTTATAGGGCACTAGCAGGGAACTGGGTCAGAAGTGAATCAAGCAGGAAAAGAACTGGTGACCACATGGGATGCTAGCATCACAGGCAGAGGTTTTATCAGATATGACACAATGGCAGCCACAGTACTAGCATTGGGAACACACACATACATGTTTCACATCCATGAATGAGGACAGACTGAGTTGTTCTGTTGATGGGTAGTATAAGAAATCAGGAGACATTAACTGTCTGTTTTATGAAATGGATAGGAAATGCAATTGTTTTCATTAAGATTATCTGATAGTGAAATTCATCTGATTCAGTAGACCCTAACATTCAATACAATTAGGATGTCGTAGCTCATTGAATCCTATTATTTTTGGATTCATGGATCAGACAGATTAGACAAGCAAAATATGGGTTGCTGTCTTAGAATTACTAGTTCTTTATTTTGCTAAATAAGTTAAAAACCATAATTACTAACTATTGTCAATAGCATGGTATAAAAGAAATAGGATTGCCTTTAAATTTGTAGAAAACTACCTACACTGTAACCTTTTTACATTACCTCTTTGGAATTACGAAAATGATGTCAAAGATCATGCTGATTTACAAACAGGCACTTGGAAATCATCTTTCTAATACAAACAGTAACTGACACTGATTGAATTTTCACTCTGCAAGAACCTTGTGCACAATATCTTGAATAGTTGCTAATCACTCTACAAAGTGCACAGCATTAACCCCATTGAACAGATAAAGTGTTCAGGTTTCAGAGAATTTGATGATCATGCTCAGAATTATCCAACGAACGAGGAGCATGATGCAAACACAAATCCCCTTCATTTTATTATATACAGTTGTAAAGGATTATTCATTTATTTCAAAGTCTTAGTTACAGAGAAAGAGATGAGACAGAGAGATCTTCTATTCCCTGGCTCATTCCCAAATGGCCATGACAGCCAGGGCCATCGTCCCTTGTCCTCCAGGCACATGAGCAGAAAGCTGAAGCAGAAGCAGAGCAGCCAGGATGCAAACTGATGCTTTCAATCAGCATGCTGGTACTGCAAATGGCAGTGTAACTGTTGTGCCACAATGCCAGCCCTAAATGCAAATCTTTCTAATTGCAAAGCTTATGCTTTTTCCCCTGTAAATGCTGCCTTTCCAAACTCTGTTTCTGTAGAGAGTTACTCTCTTATATGTTCAACAGTTTGACAATTTTCAAATAACTAACACATGACATGGTCTGCATTGTCCTGATCATACGGTGAACATTTCAACAACAAAAGACACTTTTGTAGTCATGATTGTTTGATGAGTGATTATTAATCAGTACTGTGGCTTCAGCCAGCAATCTTGCTCCTCCCAGGAGCTGAGTTGAAAGGAGAGGAAGAAGAGGGATGTTTCGGAACATACAGTCTTCAGATTCATGGAAGTGCTGGAGGCATGTGGTGAAACCTGTTGAATCCATTTAAATCCTTGTGGACACATTCTATGTTGAATTATGCTGTTTGTAGACTCCAGAGTCTCAATGTAGAAAGAAACGAAACAGAGTTTGGTCAAGCTCACTACTTTGACATTTCCCAGGGAGCAAGACTGTGACCCAAAGGGATTCTGAAACAGCCTCCCAATTGCTCAGCCAGGCAAAACAGCATCAGGACTAGAATAGCAAAAGGACAAAACCCCAGGCTAGGAAGACGGGTCCTTATGGAAGATAAGCTTTAGGAAACTGTCACATGCTATGAAAAAAAGGAAGAACTGTGGGGAAACTGTTTAAATTGCAGTACTTATGGCATAGTCTCTAATCCCAGAAAAACCACTCTTGGGAAACAGGGTCCCTGTCAAGCTACTGACACTGGGGCTCAATGCAGAATGATTTGCACATGAAGTTGTTTAGACACTGACTTTTAAGATGATGCTATAAACATGAGAATTCTATTATAATTAGTCTTTGCTGACCTCATTTTTAGGATTCCATCACTTAATCTAATCATTCAATTAGGTCATCATTCAGCCTATTAAATAGGTGCATGCAGAGGTACTAGTCAATGAGGTTTTCCCAGTAACTGCACACTCACACTAACTTGAGGCTCTCCTTTCTTCTGCCTCAACTGGAAGCCAAAAGGACTGCCAATATCTAGTACAGAGTAAATCTATAACAGACTTGAGTTTCTCTCTTTCCTCTCTTTTAGGACTGTTTCCATTGGGGGAAGGCACCTGCATCTGTATGTGTGTGCACATGTGCCTGTCTGTATATCTGTTGGCAGAGCACTGAGGATACAGCTGCCACAAGATTTCCACATCCCAAGGACCAGCTTTGTGGTAACCTTATTCATGGTGGAAACAAAATGGTAAGCAGGAGCATTCCCACCCATGAAGGACTGTGCCATTCAGATTCTCATATTACCATCTGGATCTCTGTACACAGAAAGCAATGATCCTATAGAAAGATCCTGGAACTACCTCTCCTGTCCCCACCCCAAACTCCACCCCACTGCCCTTTATAACAACGACTCTGCTGTGGGGCAGACGCATGGAATCCCTCTGGGGCTGTGCGTGCATCTTAGACCGAGTGTGCATATATGCATTCTACCTTGTGGAAAAGCAGATTCTGATTCTCCAAGTCTCAGATGGGGCCCACGACTCTGCATTTCCAGTACATTCCCAGCAGTATCCAACTGCTGCCTCACAGGCCCCACTGCAAGCAGCAGGGACTGCATGTCACTGACCAACAGCCTCACCAATCATGGCAGTTGGCAAGCTCTCACTGGCAGCATGTGTAGTAGCCTCCTGCGATACCAAAGATGAAAGCTGTTCATAGTAAGAAAACCAGAGAATAGGAGTGAGAATAAAAACTGATATGAGAGAAGGAGAGAGAAGTGTGTGGAATGATGGATGGGGAAGGAAAAGCAAGAAAAGAAGAAAAAGGAAGAAGAGAAGAGAAGAGAAGAGAAGAGAAGAGAAGAGAAGAGAAGAGAAGAGAAGAGAAGAGAAGAGAAGAGAAGAGGAGAGAAGAGAGGAGGGGAAGGGAGAGGTGACCTGAATGGAGTTTTCAGAAAAAAAATTAGGCTGTTCACGGATTTTCCTGCCTCTTTGTAGGTTAACATTGGCAGTTAGCACAAGCAGATTCCATGTTAGTTTGGTCTGTAGGGGCTGGTGCAGGTGCTTAGCCAAAACAACGTCCTCTCATAATTTTACATCATACCTATTCTTTCCTAGAACCAGCTTTGATCTGTGACTGGCAAAGGTGAGTGTGGTTATACCAGTTTCCCATTTGGCTACTGGAAATAAAGGAGCAACCGGCCTTGCAAAACTTCTCATCTTTTTCTTCACTGCATGAATACATGGCCTGGAAACATCTCCAAAGTGCTAAATCATACAGCAAAGCAGAGTCCACGTTTTGAGTCTGTCCTCTCTCTCTTTGCATGTTATGGGAAAATAATGAAGCACCTTGGACTTCTGGTTTTGCATCTACAAAATACTAGTAGCTACATTCCAGAACCTGGATTCTAATATATTAGATGAAATATTAAACAAAAGCAACTACTATCATACTTAGCACAGAACAGACACTCAAGGGAGGTGAATATTGCTATTTTCATTTTGAAACAGAAAACTGCTATTTTCTTTTGAAACTGTGATTAGGGGCCCAGCAGCATGGCCTAGCAGCTAAAGACCTCGCCTCGAATGTGCCGGGATCCCATATGGGTGCCGGTTCTAATCCCGGCAGCTCCACTTCCCATCCAGCTCCCTGCCTGGGAGAGAAAGCAGTTGGCCTGGGAAAGCAGTTGAAGACGGCCCAAAGATTTGGGACCCTGCACCCATGTGGGAGACCTGGAAGAGGTTCCTGGTTCCCGGCTTCAGATCGGTGCAGCACCGGCCATTGCGGTCACTTGGGAAGTAAATCATCAGACAGAAGATCTTCCTCTCTGTCTCTCCTCCTCTCTATATCTGCCTTTCCAATAGAAATAAATAAATCTTTAAAAAAAACTGTGATTAGTGACAGTGATTTAAATAAAACCATTAACATCAGATATATGAATTAGCATTTAAAATTGTCTTTTTGAAAAGTTTATTTTGAGGAGCCTGTGCCATGGTATGGCAAGCTAAGCTTTCTCTTGTGGCATTAGCATTCCATATGGCTGCTAGTTTGTATCCTGGATGCTCTACTTCCAATCTAGTTCCTTACTGGCAACCTGGGAAAGCAGCAGAGCATGGCTCAAGGCCTTGGGTCCCCGTACTTAAGTGGGAGAGCCAGAATAAACTCCTGGTTCCTGGCTTTGGATTGGTCCAGCTCCAACCATTACAGCCATTTGGGGAGTAAACCAGCAGATGTAAGATCTTTCTGTCTCTTATCTCTGTAACTATGCCTTTCAAAAAGAAAGCTTCAAAGTTTATTTTTTAAGTTTCAGAGGAAGACAGAGACATCCATTTACAGGCCCACTCCACAGATGACCAAAATATAGTTGAGGCTGGGCCAGGTCAAAGCCAGGCACTCCATTCAGTTCTCCTATGTGGAGAGCAGGGACTCAAGTTACCGAACCATCACTTCTTGCCCCTCAGAGTGTGTATTAGCAGAAAGCTGGGTCAGCAGTAGAGTTCACATTCAACCTAAAACTTTCCATCCAATGAAGGACATAGGTGGCCCATACAGAAGCTTCACCTGCTCATGCCACAATCCCCATCACTATGGTTGCTTATAATAGGAAACACAATAAACCTTAAATACCATAATTTACAAGATGACCCATTTCAAGTGCTCAGAATCTACTCAGAGCTGGCTGACACAGAATATCTTTCAACTCATCAAAAATAGAATTTTAATTTTAGAAAATCTTGTGGAACTAGAAAGGAAGAGAAGTTTACATTAGCAATTTCGGCTTTTACAAGTGTCCTCTAATTTAGAGAGACAGATGAAAGATGTAGTCTCCATTGAAAAGTTAAGAGTTTTAACATCAAACCCAATCTCAAGTGGAACATATAGTCACTATTCATGGGGTACAGTGTGCCTTTATGTCACTACACAGAATTCCTACCCACTCCTCCGGAATATGATGGCTACTCACTTTTAAATTCACAGAGAATTTCTCTCCCACACAGAAAAGCCTGACTTTCAGACCATCTGGATATCATCAGAAATCAAGATCAGAAAGAATAATTTACTCACTGAACAGACATGAAAACAGCTAGTGTGGTGGATGACAAGAAGCCCATGTTTTTATTTTTTTCAAAAAACATTTTTGTCATTTGGCTCATACGCATTTCACATTTCGAAATATTTTGGGACAAGCATTTAAACTGTGAGATTGAATTTCGTCATTGTGGAGAAAGCAACAGCCTTCGTGGAAGTCATCGCCAAGTCACCCAGACGGTTGACCCTTCTTCCAAGCCTTGCTGTCTGCTTCCCAAGGGAAGACAGAGTCAGAAGACAGAAAAGAAAGGAAACAGCCCTGGCAGCACGCTGGGAGGTAGCTTACCTAGTAGACTGGAATCACCCAGAGCTGAGTTCTGTCTCACTTTGCCAGCATCCTTGCCCTTTCCCCTCCCAAATCTTCCCCAACCTTTTTTTTTTTAACCTTTCAATATAAAGAAAAACAGTCTCCACTCTCTAATTACTTAGCATACCAGGGTGGTTAGCATAGAAGGACAGAATTCATGAACATCTGTGTACTAGGTGGGGCACAAGCTCCTTGCATCCCATCTAGGAATGCTGATGCAGAAGGCAGAGGCTCAGAGCTGCCAGGGAGGCAGACAGTGTGCTGGAAGACAGCAGGGCCCCAAGAGTCAGCCCCTTTCGGAGTGTGGTGCAATGCAGATCTTTCTGATCCACTGCTGGGCTGCAAGAAAGCGAAGGCAGACACCGCAGGCAGACCAGCCCCAGCAGAGTCCCTCATACTGCGCACATGCTACGACGGAAACCACTCCTACTGGAATGAGGTCAGAAGCAGATTAGGGTATGTCTGGGAAATATCAGACCTTTGAGTTTTCCAAGATTTTTTTTTTCTACCTTCCTCCCCATATTTTTATTGCTGTCTGTGGCTGCCTTAGCACATTGGCTTCCTTGAAGACAGAGAGAAGGAAACCTACTCCCGTTAGCAAGGAAAACAAATATTCAAGTGTATCCCTACCTAATTAGGGTTCCTGGGAAGGTCTCCCTGAGGCAATTCAAAGATGCTGGATGAAGAGTTTGACAGTTGAAAATAGGGCAGCAATAATCAAGGTCCTGATGTGCATAGTCGTGTATTTTTAATAAGCAGACCACACACAAAAGGCATAGAAACAGGAGAGCGTAATGGTTATGACAGCCGTTCATAGGCCTACTTGTTTTTCACCTTTTTTTTTTTTTGCTCAGAAAGTCTTAAATGAGGTTATAACATCAATTTTTTTTGCAAATATATTTTTATTTATTTGAAAGGTGGGAGGAGGGAGAGGCTTCCAGGCTGTTGTAGCCATTTGGGATATGAACCAGTAGATAGAAGGTCTCTTTCTCTATTTCTATATTTCTCCCTCTCTCTCTCTCACTCTGCATCTCAAATGAGTAAAATAAATATTTAAAAAAAAACAGTGCTGGCCCTCCTGTGACACAGAGTTGAGTAATTTTATAAGAGGTTTCCAAACTTTGCATGCAGAATTTAGTTCCTCCACAGTGAGTGGAACCGTCAGGCCACAGGTATGCAAATTTCCATTCATGGTGCTAATGCATCTTCCAAAAATCTGATGCCTCATGAACACATGGTCACTCAATGGGCCCCTACTATGTGTGGGACACTGTGCTATAGCATCCTTAATTCTCAATATAGCTGTACCAAGCAGATTTCATCTTTATTTCCATCATAATGTAAATGAAGTTCAGGAGTGTTCAAACTCTGAAGTGAGTAAATGATACAGAAACATTTGATCCAGATTTGAATTCAGATGGGCCAGATGCTTTCCAACTTTATTGTGGAAAAGTAGAATCCATGATAAGAATCACTTCGGGGTGTTGATATATCTCTATAACTTTGGCAGAGTCACAGCTAAGTGGTAGCTCATGCCTGCATTGGTTTATTTGTCTATGAAGTGTGAATGTTCAACTGCAGTAGTGTCTATTGTTTCTCCCAATTCAGTGAGGCTGTGCGGGAGCAACTGCTCAGCATCAGTCCTGAAGCAAGAAAGGATGTCCTCATGTTTGTACTTGAACACAGTGCCTGCTACTGGCTCTTCACATTTGCAAAGGAACAAACAAAAGAAAAAGACTCTATAAGAAGGGAAGAAAGTTTGGGTTGAGTTGAAAGGTCACCTGCAATTATTTGTCTCAGTGATACACACACACACACACAAAACCACAATTGCATTCAAAATTCTCTATCCTTAAATATCACTGATAAGGAAATAGTCAAATATGGTTTAGGTATGATATTTCTGAAATACAGATTAACCATATGATCTTGCCAGGTCCTTTCAGCATTGTGTCTCCACGACTTCTCTAACACTAGGGACTTAGGGTTCTTTTTTCAGTCTAAGGCTGACAAGGGTGACCTCACTGACAAAGGCTTGCATTAACTCTAATCCTGTATTCCCCAAAGTTCACATCATGTATGTCTGTTGTCAGCTCCTAAACCTGCAAATGACTAAGCATTATTGGCAGTTTTCAAATCCTAGGCTTTTATTTAAAAAGTAATCTCCTGTCCTTACCTTCCAGAGATTTTTTTTAACTCCCTAGATTCCAGATGGGGACAGCAATCTAAATGCACACTAACAACTCCAGGTGATTCTAATTTGCTTGTTTTAGGATTGATTTATTGAAAAACAGAGAACGGGAGGGAGCAGTAAAGGCAGAGTTCAAAAGGGGGGGAAGGGTTGAGGAAGAGGAGGAGAGGAAGGGCAACATCTGCTAGTTTAAATCCCAAATGCCTCTAGCAACTAGTGCTGGGCCAGGCCCAAACCCCGGTGTCTAGGACTCCATCTGTGTCTTCCATATAGGTGGCAGAAGTGGCAGGGGCCCAACTACTTGAGCCATATCTGCTCAAACTATCAAATGCTGCAATGAATGATTCTTACAAACCTAAGGTTCAATGAGACAGACATAAATGAGTTTCTGTGGTAAGATTCCATGGACCCAAAGCACAAAATCAGGGAAAACTAGTGATGCTGTTAGACCACAAGCTGCTGGTTCCCTGAGAGGGTGGAGATTGCAATAGGCACAGAGTAAAGGGCTTCTGGGTGCTTCCATTACTGGGCTGTGATCTAGCAGTGTTCACTTTCTAAATATTCATCAAGCCTTAAGTTTGCAGCTTATGTACTTTCCTCCACGTTTATAGGTATTTACGCTTACATGTACTCATTGTGAATGCGAATATCTTATGTTTCATATGGATGCCTATATCACCTTAATATTGTTCAATATCAAGTTGACTAAAAGATAGCAAGACTATAGATATTTAGAGCACTTTCACCAAAAGAAATAGCAAAAGTTCCTTCTACGTTAAGATAGACTTAATATTTATAATAGCTACATAGGTAGAAAGAGACTCATCATATACAGATAAAAATAACACAAAAGGTTAATAAAAAGTTGTTGGAAGTATTTTTCACAAAACATTATTAATGCATTTAGAAAATTGCCCAAGTAAACAAGACCACAGAGAGGCCTCAGCCACACAGAACATTGGATGACACTTCCCGTTCTGATCATGGATTAATTGCTAAAGTTTTCAGTTCCTTGTCACCCCATTTGAGAGCAGGATAATTCCTACCTTCCTTCCAGAACTGTTGTGCTGCTTAATTAATGTTTATAAATCATTTTCTGTTCCCTGGGTAAAAGGCACCGCTAAAGAGCCAAGTATAATTATGTTTTAATTTCGATTAATTTTGAAGATGCCAAAAAAAAGGGTCCATGAATTGTGACTTGCTCAAATTACTCATAATCAAAGTCACAACTTCTGTCTGTTCTCTGAAAATATCACCTGCTATACATAAGAAATGACCTTTCATTGGAAGTTTTTCAACTCAGTTTCTCCATCTTTAAATTGGGGTAACATGGTTTGACGATCACTGAGTATTTCTTCACACTTTGCAAAGCCCTTCAGGAATTGTTAAGTGAAAAGAAGGGACACAGTGCTAGAGGAAGAAGAAACACAGTATGCTATAGCCTATGGTGAAAGGAACTGCTTCTCTATGAGGGAAGCTAGAATTCTAGCTGTCCTGTAGAGAGACAACCTAGGAGCTGGCCCTGAAGATGAGGCTGAAAACAGGGAAGCAGAAGACTAGATGAAGACTTGTTGCTGATGGCTGGCAAATACTTTCTTATAAGGACAGCTGGTTTTACCAGTCCTTGAGGCCATCTTTATTCCTGCTCTTAACCCAAATGATGCATGCTACACAAATCCAGTTATCAGAAATCGATTGATATGTGCAACTCACTCTGCTCTTTTATAGATTAACACAGGACCAAGCAAAACGAGCTATGATCTTGTTTTCCAAGTCCTGAGGCTGAGATGTCTGTGGGTTCTGACTTTGGTGAGAATCAAATAACCATGTCATTATGGATGGCATGTTTTAGAAGGGAAGACACTCATAAGAAGAAATTCTTTTTTTGTTTGTTTGTTTCTATTTGAGATTGGAAAAACAATCTATCTTCACTGTTTCTTTTTACTATTATTATTACATTTCACTTTATGACACAGTTTTATAGGCTCTGAGATTCCCCCAACCCCTCCCCGTACCCTCCCTCTATGGTGGATTACTCCACCTAGCTGCAGTATTACGGTTCAAATCCAATCATAATGATTTCATTGCAAGCATGTATTTTGCATAGTGTCCAGCATCTTATTGTCCAGATAAATTCAACGGTTTCTTGGGGAGACCATCTCTGGTCTGAAGGCAGAGCTGGCAGAATATCATCCCGACCAATTAAAAGCCACAACATACCATCAACAACAGTTTACAACCTTATGGAGTTAAATGACATGGTATTGAGTGATAAATGTTAGAAAATGCAAGTTCTTAACCACATCCTGTGATTACTTCATTGACATTTCAATTTTAGTATATACACAACTGGCTGCTACACACTTTAAAATGGCTATAGGGTACTATTCAGCTGTCTCGTGCCTTTTCATTTTTGTATTTAGTAGTTTATAGTGTTGAAGCATAATTTTTACTGAACTTGGTGGACTTTTGATAGTCCATGTTGGCTTATAACTCTAACAAGGCATATGTCAACAGTTGAGGTGCAGAACAGTTTTAGGAGGGGTGTGCATAGAAATCCTCAATACTTCAGTGAGGTGTAACTTATCTTTGTGTCCCACCTAGTAAGGTATATGTGAGTCCAGGCTAACCATTTCCTGTTTGGTACTAAGCTTTCCTTGTTGTTCTCTGTCTAATCTATTTTTTTTGGCGGGGTGGCGCGGGGGGAGGGTGCTCTGGGGCGACCCTGATGGTCATTGCAAGAGAGGGTGGGGATCCAAAGTTGGAACTAAGTAAGGACCAGAGAAAGCTCCTCTCCCGATTCCCGAAGGAAGTGTACTGTTCTTCTGTTTCTGCAGACCGCTCAGGGCTCCTGGCTGTTGTTCCAATGGCACTGACATGAAGAAATTCTAACTGTATTCTCCATTTCTCCTATTTAACGGGCTACATAAAACATACAGAATCTCTCAAAAAGGCCTTTGGTTTCTTGATGAAGACAAAAGAACCTGAAGTCATATGAAGCTTGCCTGGCATTTATTTCCTTTCAATATGTATTACTTAAGTACTTTTTATTTTTATATGTCTTCTATTTAATCAATACATATGGCACTTTTCTTAATCACCTTTCCTTGATACGGGAAAATGTCTAGACTGCTCTCCCATCCAAATACTAACCAGGCCCGACCCTGCTTAGCTTCCGAAATCAGACGAGATCGGGCGCATTCAGGGTGGTATGGCCGTAGACCAGACTGCTCTCAATTGCAGGTCATAACTAGAAAGATTCTTCTATGTTTATATGAACTTTCATTGTTTCAGAGATTTATTTATTTTTATTGGAAAAACAGATTTACAGAGAGAGGAGCAGAGACAGAAAAAGATTTTCCATCCTCTGGGTCACTCTTCAAATGCCTGCAATGGCCAGAGTAAGCCAATCCAAAGCTAGGATCCAGGACCTATGTGGGTTTCCCATGCAGGTGCAGGGTCCTAAGGCTTTGGGCCATCCTCTATTGTCTTCCTAGGCCACAAGCAGGGAGCTGGATGGGAAGTGGGGCAGGAGGGACATGAGCCAGTGCTCATATCAGATCCTGGTAGTTGCAATGTGAGAATTTAGCCACTGAGTGATCATGCCGGGCCCTATATGAACATTTTTAATAAATATATCTTCTTACTTTATAAA